CAAACCCAAGGGGGTAATCCATCGACCGGAAGTTGAAGCCGGCCGGGTGCCGCCATGTTGTAGCAGAACTTCACTTGCGTTAGCATTTCCATTGACTCCCATTCATTTTGGCGTCACTTTGACAGCGAATAACTTTACATCTGAGGCGTTTAAAGACTCCATTTGTCCATTATTTATTTCTAAAGAAACACGACAATGTATAAAGGTCTCCATTACCTTCTAATTTACATTATGGCCCCGTAGAAACAGATTTAGTAAAAATAGGCTAACGATTGCGTCATAACCACTCGACTCTCTGTCGCGCTGTACAGAAATGACCGTACAGACAGGAGGAGAAGCTCGCAGGCAATCGGCGGGACGTCCCGTCAAGAGAGAAGCCCATAGATAATGAGTCCATAAAAGCAACGGAATACTTACTCCTGCTCACTCACGCCAAAGAACTCTTTGCTCAAGTTCCCCGTCTCTGCGAGATTAACGTTGGCAATTTTCACGCACAGCTACTAGAAGATTAATGTCTGTCAGACAGGTTGCTCACGTCATCAAGCTTAGTTTGAGTCGGTTTGAGTCTGCGCGTCAGGAACGGAAGTGCTCAAAAATCGCTAAAAATGGGCTTCAACTGTCTCAACTGAGTTCCAATGAGATGGCTCTGTCCACTTCTTATACTGTCTATGGTCAAACCGGAGGACTTTAGAAACGATGACGTAGTAGAGGCTCACGCTCGTCTCTATGATTGGGTGTCATCAGTCATGGCGTATATCTTTGCTAGCAGCTGTTGTACAAGTCAATTCTGCATTTTACAACGCTATAACTGCCTACATGCGCCGGAGTCAAGCTATTATTCGAGCGATCTGTGACAATTCCCGTGTGCAGCGGCGGCATTGACCGTACATGGAGCGTCGGTTTGGGGTTAACCCAGAGCATGGTGGGATACTTTTATCAATGAAGTTGTGTTTACACCGGCACGCGCATGCCCAGTGTTGGTGAATGGTCACGTGATCCGCGTTTTCAGTCGTTTTAATGTGGACGGAGATCAATTCTAATACGCAGCTAAAATGCTGGTGTGGACGGAGATCGTATTCGTTTTAATTATCCGTTTCTAAACTAAAACGCAGTAGTGTGGATGGGGCCTGGCATCAGTGTAGACAAAAAAAGGAAGCTGAAGGTCAGGATGTCCCAGGATGAGGGGTGAGGATGAGATGAGGATGAGGGGTGAGGATGAGAATTGAAGACATTGAAACATGTCTTCAATTTCTCAAAGGCTTGTTGACACTGTGGTGACCACTGGAATTTACGTCCCTTTTTCTTCAAGGCATTTATAGGTTCAGCTATCTGAGAGAAATTGGGCACAAACCTATGTTACCATCCTGCCAATCCAAGAAATCGTTGAACTTCTTTAAGGTTCTTGGGTGCCGGTTCAGCCGAGATGCCTTTTGTGTTAACCACATGTCCCAGAAATGTCAACTCGTGAAGGCAGAATTGACTCTTTTTTAGGTTTATGGTTAAACCAGCTGTGTGCAATCGGTCGAAGACAGTGAAGGTCATGGAAGTGTTGGGTGACAGAGGGTGAATAAATGATAATATCATCAATATACAAGAAACACATTCTTCCTCACAGTTCACCGAGGACAGTCTCCATTAGTCGATGAAATGTCGCTGGAGCGTTTTTCAGCCCAAACGGCATGACATTAAATTGATATATATGATATATATAATATATAAATCCTTTCTCTCCTCTCACCTTCGACTCCTCCCACCTTTTTAATCAACCCACGGATATTACTTTATTTTTGTTATTTGTGTCATCATTGCCATTATTATCATTATTGTTACTGTTATGATTACTTTTTTTCTTTTTTTTAATTAATATTTTTTATTATTGTTGTAATTGCTGTTGTTATTGTCGTTGCTCTCATCATTGCCATCATTATCATTATTATTATTATTACCATTGTTAGTGCTGTTTTGGAATTACTAACCTGGTGTTTTTACTACTGCTGTAGTTAAATCAATTGATTGTTTCCAAAAATTCCCCCCTAATCTTTTCATGTGTTTTTAATGCACCACAACATAGAATAGAGAAGAAAAAAAGTGTATGTATATATACACTGAAAAACCTCAAACACTTAGGCAGGCAAGACAGGAGAGAAGTGGTCTCCATGGGACAGCAACTCTGTCCCAAGTTGAGACACTCTCACACTGTACCCCTTGTTTTAATGCACCTTAAACACTACACATAACATACAAAAAATATATATATAAATAAATAAATAAATATTTTTTAGGAGAAAATAGGGATTGAAGACATGTGGGGGAGGGTTATCTTATATTATCTTATTAAAGTATCTTTTATTTTTGAAGAGTGCTGACAATGGTAATTGTTACATAGGAGGAAAGATGGAAATAAGAATAAAAATAAAAATTGACTAATACAATGTTGGTAGTATGTTGGTAGTGAGGAGTGGTGGTGATGATGGTAATAAATAATAAATGGTTATTTTGCTTATGCACATATACACACACGCACACACACACACACACACACACACCCACTGTTATTTTCACTTCTGGAATTATGGAATTACTATATTGTTCGTTAATGCACTATTTTGGTCTGTATGTCTGTCTGTTAAAGGGATACTCCACTTTTTTTGGAAATAGGCTTATTTTACAACTCCCCCAGAGTTAAACTGTTGAGTTTTACCGTTTTTGAATCCATTCAGCCGATCTCCGGTTCTGGCGGTACCACTTTTATCATAGCTTAGCATACATCATTGAAGTGGACAAGACCATTAGCATTTCTCAAAAAAAAATGACCAAAGAGTTTCGATATTTTTCCTATTTAAAACTTGACTCTTCTGTAGTTACATCGTGCACTAAGACCGACGGAAAATGTAAAGTTGCGATTTTATAATAATATCACAATAATTTACAATAATAATCAAGAAACTTTACTGCCGTACCATGAGTGACCATGCTAATGGTCTTGTCCACTCCAATGATGTATGCTAAGCTATGCTAAAAGTGGTACCGCCAGAACCGGAGATCGGCTGAATGGATTCAAAAACGGTAAAACTCAACAGTTTAACTCTGGGGGAGTTGTAAAATGAGCCTATTTCCAAAAAAAGTGGAGTATCCCTTTAAATAAAAATAAAAAAAATAATAAAAAAAATTTGATATCCCGGATGGAGCGATGAATGCAGTCTTGGACTTGCTCTCTGGTTCCATTGTCACCTGCCAGTTTAGGTCGATGCTGGAAAAAATACCTGCACCAGAGAGGGATTCCAATGTCTCTGTGATATTAGGCAGAGGATAGGCATCTCTCTCAGTGACAGCATTGACCCTCCTGTAGTCTACACAGAATCTCTGGCTGCCGTCTTTCTTTGGGACCAGGACAATAGGTGAGGCCCAAGCAGAGTGTGATGGTTCTATGATACCATTCTTCAACATTTCTTTAACTTGTTCTTGTACCACATCTTGTTTCTCTGGTGTTAATCTGTATGTTTGATGGGTACAGGATGGACAGTATAAAGACAATGCTGGAGTACTGTTGTTCTTCCGAGCTGGAGGATTGTTCTCTAATAGAACTGAACAATGTGAGAGTTCGCTCTGCATTTTTATGTTGTGCTTTCTTTTCCAGAAGCTGGATACATCTACCGGTAGTTGGAATACTAGCTCGTCCAGGCTGAGTAGTGTCTGGTCTGAATGAGATTAAAATAGAAACGAAACAGTAAGCCTATTTGTAGTTCAATTTAAGTCTATAATTTGATTTAATGTTATCCATCAGGTGTCTCTATATGACGCTGCATGAAAAAATAAAAAGGTTTGTGTTATTTCTGAAGACTAATTTGTACAGATGACCAGAAAACATGCAGTAAATCTAATTTGATTTCATGTTGATTTAAAGCATCAGCTGCCGTGTATAACACACACAATGACATTCACAAATAATCAATGACTTTATGAGTTTACACAATGACAGATACATTTACACAATGATTATATGCATTACAAAAAAAGTGCTTTTTCTTTAATAAATGTTGCTTTTATAAACTGGATTTGGTTGATATTTCATATACTCATTAACAGATATTAACTGATCATCAACATTCATGTAAATGAGATGTGCATCAGTCTATGCTCTGTAAGGCACGCGTGTATAAGTCTATAGACTGTGTTTTCACATTAATAAACAGCTTGACCTGAGAGTCTCGATACAGCAGAATTCATATTTCATCTCTTTAATCCAGATCATCTTTGGCTCACAGTTCTCTTTGGTTATGTCATCCATTTTCCTATTATTAACACTTAAATCAGCTGGATTTGATCTGATTTATAATCCTGTACATGAAGGTTTTTGTGGCTTTATAATACTGTAAGTTCACAGAGAGCCTTATGGATGTTCTTGCAGAGTTCACATGTCCCAGGATCCTTTGCGTGTGAATATTGTTCACATCCAGATATGACCTCACTTCCTCTTCCTCCATGTTTGACTGTTTCATGTCGATTTTCCCTGAAGCTTAATGATAATACATATGAGCTACTGACATCATACACGTGCTCTTGATACTGAATAATAGTTCATACACTGCAAAAAAGTCTAGTTTTCCAGTACAAATATCTTAAATCAAGATACATTTACTAGAGGAAAAAAAGACAAAGATATAACATTTATATAAATCAAAATTGAGTGAGTTTGTGCTTAAAACAAGAACAAATATCTGCCACAGATTCTTGTTTTCCTTTGCATTACGTTTATTTTTCTGACTCCATTAGCAGATCTTTTTTCTTGATTAATTTCGATGCATTTTTCAGAAAACAAGACTTTATCTTCAGTCACTGTGAATCTCAGGTAAATGTATCTTGATTTAAGAGTGTTTCAGATGTTAATGCTGGAAAACGAGACAGAAACACTGAGGAAGAGCATACGTTTCTGCAGTTTAGCTGAATAAAACTGTAAAGTGCGCCGCGTGTCACGTGTGTCTGAAATGTTTGCTATGTTTGACTGTTTCACGTCAGCGAAGCAGATTTTCCCTGAAGCTTAATGATGATAATACATAACGAGCAACTGACATCATACACGTGCTCTTGATACTGAATATTAGTTCATACACTGCAAAAAAAAGTCTAGTTTTCCAGTACAAATATCTAAACACTCTTAACTCAAGATACTAGAGAAGCAACAAGACAGAGATATGAAGTCTTAAACTTGTTTTCCTTTGAATTAAGTTTATTTTTCTGACTCCATTAGCAGATTTTCTTGATTACTTTTGATGCATTTTTCAGAAAAAAAGACTTAATATCTTCAGTCACTGTGAATCTCCAGTAGATGTATGTTGATTTAAGAGTGCTTAGATGTTTATGCTGGGAAACGAGACAGAAACACTGAGGAAGAGCATACGTTTCTGCAGTTTAGCTGAATAAAATCCCCTGACGCGTGTAAATGTTCCTGTAAAGTGCGCGTGTCACACGTGTGTCTGAACGTCCGTGATCAGGCGCTTGCTCTACTTGTCGTCGCTCCCAGAATCCCCTGTGCTCTTGATGATGTCAGAGCTGATGATGTCACTGAGGCGCTCCACGACACACTGCGCCGTCAGTCGGGCCTCGGGGTCGTGATCCCAGCACTCCTCGATGGTGGAGCTCAGGAGATGAACACCCTGAACACACACACACACACACACACACACACACACACACACACACACACACACACACACACACACACACACACACACACACACACACACACACACACACACACACAAACACACAGAACCTCAGTGAGAGCCTCACAAACACTTCCGTTTAGTTTCATCACATTTACGGTCATACATTATTATACATTTACATGGCATAAGAAAAGTCCTAATCATGGGAATTACAATATGGCCTAATGTGATTATTAAACTTCAAAAGGCTGTTATTGAATTAAATAAAATGTACTGTTGATCAATTATGATCATGTTTACTTTATGGTGTTTATATAGGCTATATTAGACGTATATATTATCAATTGTTTCAGTCTCTTTAGTTGTGTTTTCTGCTGTGAAACATCAGCCGGGCCAGTGCTGCCGCCTTGTGGAACAACTGATTAGTGCAAAACCAGTTCAATGCGTGTGCGACCGTGTCAAAAACAGAAGTAAACTTCAGGCTTTACCGTGTGGTTGCTCCAGCTGACCGGTATCTCGGGTCTCAGTCGATCTCTGATGACATCATCCTTCATGCTCTCCACACACGGATGCTCCTTCAGCTTCCCGAACGGAGGCTCGTATTCCCGCACATCTGCACACACACACACACACACACACACACACACGTCAAACCTCGAAACATGATTATTAAACTTCAAAACGTCAAAGTCTGACAGCATGTGACGAGTTTGATTGACAGCCCTCTGCACAGAGTGGGCGGGGAAATCACTAGAGAAAGGCATTATGGGAAGTCTTTCACCAGGGTTTTTACAAACACTATTCCTCCTGCATGTACACTCAAATCTGACATAAACGTCTTTTAAACAAAAAAAAAAAAAAACATATAGGAAGGCATGTTATATTTAACTCAGACGAGGCGCTCTATTATTTAAATAATTACAGTTAATTTCTCCAACAGTTCTCTTCAGAGATTATGAAGAGCTCGACCGCTGTGATCTGTGGACTGGGATCAGGTCAGATCTATGGAGATTCAGTGTTTGTGTGTGTGTGTGTGTGTGTGTGTGTGTGTGTGTAGGATGTTGACTCTATTGACAGGCTTCATTACCTCCAGTGGCGCTGCATCTGGACACGATCTCCCACAGAACCAGAGCCATGGAGTAAACATCCGCCTGTTTGAAGGACTCGATGCTCTCCAGGTCCATCCGGGACTCCAGCACTTCTGGAGCCATGTACCGCGCCGTGCCCACCTGAGGAACACACACACAACACACAAGCTTGAGGAACACACACACAACACAAACCAGCTTGAGGAACACACAGCAGCTCGAGGAACACACCAAACACACACCAGCTTGAGGAACACAGCAAACACACACCAGCTCGAGGAACACACCAAACACACACCAGCTCGAGGAACACAGCAAACACACACCAGCTCGAGGAACACAGCAAACACACACCAGCTCGAGGAACACAGCAAACACACACCAGCTCGAGGAACACAGCAAACACACACCAGCTCGAGGAACACACCAAACACACACCAGCTCGAGGAACACACCAAACACACACCAGCTCGAGGAACACACCAAACACACACCAGCTCGAGGAACACACCAACACACACCAGCTCGAGGAACACAGCAAACACACACCAGCTCGAGGAACACAGCAAACACACACCAGCTCGAGGAACACACCAAACACACACCAGCTCGAGGAACACACCAAACACACACCAGCTCGAGGAACACAGCAAACACACACCAGCTCGAGGAACACACCAAACACACACCAGCTCGAGGAACACACCAAACACACACCAGCTCGAGTAACACAGCAAACACACACCAGCTCGAGGAACACAGCAAACACACACCAGCTCGAGGAACACACCAAACACACACCAGCTCGAGGAACACACCAAACACACACCAGCTCGAGTAACACAGCAAACACACACCAGCTCGAGGAACACAGCAAACACACACCAGCTCGAGGAACACAGCAAACACACACCAGCTCGAGGAACACACCAAACACACACCAGCTCGAGTAACACAGCAAACACACACCAGCTCGAGGAACACAGCAAACACACACCAGCTCGAGGAACACACCAAACACACACCAGCTCGAGTAACACAGCAAACACACACCAGCTTGAGGAACACAGCAAACACACACCAGCTCGAGGAACACAGCAAACACACACCAGCTTGAGGAACACACCAAACACACACCAGCTCGAGGAACACACCAAACACACACCAGCTTGAGGAACACAGCAAACACACACCAGCTTGAGGAACACACCAAACACACACCAGCTCGAGGAACACACCAAACACACACCAGCTTGAGGAACACAGCAAACACACACCAGCTTGAGGAACACACCAAACACACACCAGCTCGAGGAACACACCAAACACACACCAGCTCGAGGAACACACCAAACACACACCAGCTCGAGGAACACAGCAAACACACACCAGCTCGAGGAACACACCAAACACACACCAGCTCGAGGAACACACCAAACACACACCAGCTCGAGGAACACACCAAACACACACCAGCTCGAGGAACACACCAAACACACACCAGCTCGAGGAACACACCAAACACACACCAGCTCGAGGAACACACCAAACACACACCAGCTCGAGGAACACAGCAAACACACACCAGCTCGAGGAACACACCAAACACACACCAGCTCGAGGAACACACCAAACACACACCAGCTTGAGGAACACAGCAAACACACACCAGCTTGAGGAACACAGCAAACACACACCAGCTCGAGGAACACACCAAACACACACCAGCTCGAGGAACACAGCAAACACACACCAGCTCGAGGAACACACCAAACACACACCAGCTCGAGGAACACAGCAAACACACACCAACACACACCAGCTCGAGGAACACAGCAAACACACACCAGCTCGAGGAACACAGCAAACACACACCAGCTCGAGGAACACACCAAACACAAACCAGCTCGAGGAACACAGCAAACACACACCAACACACACCAGCTCGAGGAACACAGCAAACACACACCAGCTCGAGGAACACAGCAAACACACACCAACACACACCAGCTCGAGGAACACAGCAAACACACACCAGCTCGAGGAACACAGCAAACACACACCAGCTTGAGGAACACACCAAACACACACCAGCTCGAGGAACACAGCAAACACACACCAGCTCGAGGAACACAGCAAACACACACCAGCTTGAGGAACACAGCAAACACACACCAGCTCGAGGAACACACCAAACACACACCAGCTCGAGGAACACAACAAACACACACCAGCTTGAGTAACACAGCAAACACACACCAGCTCGAGGAACACACCAAACACACACCAGCTCGAGGAACACACCAAACACACACCAGCTCGAGGAACACAACAAACACACACCAGCTTGAGGAACACAGCAAACACACACCAGCTCGAGGAACACAACAAACACACACCAGCTTGAGGAACACACCAAACACACACCAGCTCGAGGAACACACCAAACACACACCAGCTCGAGGAACACACCAAACACACACCAGCTCGAGGAACACACCAAACACACACCAGCTCGAGGAACACAGCAAACACACACCAGCTTGAGGAACACACCAAACACACACCAGCTCGAGGAACACACCAAACACACACCAGCTTGAGGAACACACCAAACACACACCAGCTCGAGGAACACACCAAACACACACCAGCTCGAGGAACACACCAAACACACACCAGCTCGAGGAACACACCAAACACACACCAGCTTGAGGAACACACCAAACACACACCAGCTCGAGGAACACACCAAACACACACCAGCTTGAGGAACACACCAAACACACACCAGCTCGAGGAACACACCAAACACACACCAGCTTGAGGAACACAGCAAACACACACCAGCTTGAGGAACACAGCAAACACACACCAGCTCGAGGAACACACCAAACACACACCAGCTTGAGGAACACAGCAAACACACACCAGCTTGAGGAACACACCAAACACACACCAGCTCGAGGAACACAGCAAACACACACCAGCTCGAGGAACACAGCAAACACACACCAACACACACCAGCTCGAGGAACACAGCAAACACACACCAGCTCGAGGAACACAGCAAACACACACCAGCTCGAGGAACACACCAAACACACACCAGCTCGAGGAACACAGCAAACACACACCAGCTTGAGGAACACACCAAACACACACCAGCTCGAGGAACACAGCAAACACACACCAGCTCGAGGAACACAGCAAACACACACCAGCTTGAGGAACACAGCAAACACACACCAGCTCGAGGAACACAACAAACACACACCAGCTTGAGGAACACACCAAACATACACCAGCTCGAGGAACACACCAAACACACACCAGCTCGAGGAACACACCAAACACACACCAGCTCGAGGAACACAGCAAACACACACCAGCTTGAGGAACACACCAAACATACACCAGCTCGAGGAACACACCAAACACACACCAGCTCGAGGAACACACCAAACACACACCAGCTCGAGGAACACACCAAACACACACCAGCTCGAGGAACACAGCAAACACACACCAGCTCGAGGAACACACCAAACACACACCAGCTTGAGGAACACACCAAACACACACCAGCTCGAGGAACACAGCAAACACACACCAGCTCGAGGAACACAGCAAACACACACCAGCTCGAGGAACACACCAAACACACACCAGCTTGAGGAACACAGCAAACACACACCAGCTCGAGGAACACAGCAAACACACACCAGCTCGAGGAACACAACAAACACACACCAGCTCGAGGAACACACCAAACACACACCAGCTTGAGGAACACACCAAACACACACCAGCTCGAGGAACACACCAAACACACACCAGCTCGAGGAACACACCAAACACACACCAGCTCGAGGAACACAGCAAACACACACCAGCTCGAGGAACACAGCAAACACACACCAGCTTGAGTAACACAGCAAACACACACCAGCTCGAGGAACACACCAAACACACACCAGCTCGAGGAACACACCAAACACACACCAGCTCGAGGAACACAGCAAACACACACAGCAAACACACACCAGCTCGAGGAACACAGCAAACACACACAGCAAACACACACCAGCTTGAGGAACATAGCAAACACACACCAGCTTGAGGAACACACCAAACACACACCAGCTTGAGGAACACAGCAAACACACACCAGCTTGAGTAACACAGCAAACACACACCAGCTCGAGGAACACACCAAACACACACCAGCTTGAGGAACACACCAAACACACACCAGCTTGAGGAACACAGCAAACACACACAGCAAACACACACCAGCTCGAGGAACACAGTAAACACACACAGCAAACACACACCAGCTTGAGGAACATAGCAAACACACACCAGCTTGAGGAACACACCAAACACACACCAGCTCGAGGAAGCAACCAAACACACACCAGCTTGAGGAACACACCAAACACACACCAGCTCGAGGAACACACCAAACACACACCAGCTCGAGGAACACACCAAACACACACCAGCTCGAGGAACACACCAAACACACACCAGCTCGAGTAACACACCAAACACACACCAGCTCGAGGAACACACCAAACACACACCAGCTCGAGGAACACACCAAACACACACCAGCTCGAGGAACACACCAAACACACACCAGCTCGAGGAACACACCAAACACACACCAGCTCGAGGAACACACCAAACACACACCAGCTCGAGGAACACACCAAACACACACCAGCTCGAGGAACACAGCAAACACACACCAGCTCGAGGAACACACCAAACACACACCAGCTCGAGGAACACAGCAAACACACACCAGCTCGAGGAACACACCAAACACACACCAGCTCGAGGAACACACCAAACACACACCAGCTCGAGGAACACACCAAACACACACCAGCTCGAGGAACACAGCAAACACACACCAGCTCGAGGAACACAGCAAACACACACCAGCTCGAGGAACACACCAAACACACACCAGCTCGAGGAACACAGCAAACACACACCAGCTCGAGGAACACAGCAAACACACACCAGCTTGAGTAACACCAAACAGCAAACACACACCAGCTTGAGGAACACAGCAAACACACACCAGCTCGAGGAACACACCAAACACACACCAGCTCGAGGAACACACCAAACACACACCAGCTCGAGGAACACACCAAACACACACCAGCTCGAGGAACACAGCAAACACACACCAGCTTGAGTAACACCAAACAGCAAACACACACCAGCTCGAGGAACACAGCAAACACACACCAGCTCGAGGAACACACCAAACACACACCAGCTCGAGGAACACAGCAAACACACACCAGCTCGAGGAACACACCAAACACACACCAGCTCGAGGAACACACCAAACACACACCAGCTCGAGGAACACACCAAACACACACCAGCTCGAGTAACACACCAAACACACACCAGCTCGAGGAACACAGCAAACACACACCAGCTCGAGGAACACAGCAAACACACACCAGCTCGAGGAACACAGCAAACACACACCAGCTTGAGGAACACACCAAACACACACCAGCTCGAGGAACACAGCAAACACACACCAGCTCAAGGAACACACCAAACACACACCAGCTCGAGGAACACACCAAACACCCACCAGCTCGAGGAACACACCAAACACACACCAGCTCGAGTAACACACCAAACACACACTAGCTCGAGGAACACAGCAAACACACACCAGCTTGAGTAACACACCAAACACACACCAGCTCGAGGAACACAGCAAACACACACCAGCTCGAGGAACACACCAAACACACACCAGCTCGAGGAACACAGCAAACACACACCAGCTCGAGGAACACAGCAAACACACACCAGCTTGAGTAACACCAAACAGCAAACACACACCAGCTCGAGGAACACAGCAAACACACACCAGCTCGAGGAACACACCAAACACACACCAGCTCGAGGAACACAGCAAACACACACCAGCTCGAGGAACACACCAAACACACACGAGCTCGAGGAACACACCAAACACACACCAGCTCGAGGAACACACCAAACACACACCAGCTCGAGTAACACACCAAACACACACCAGCTCGAGGAACACAGCAAACACACACCAGCTCGAGGAACACAGCAAACACACACCAGCTCGAGGAACACAGCAAACACACACCAGCTTGAGTAACACCAAACAGCAAACACACACCAGCTCGAGGAACACAGCAAACACACACCAGCTCGAGGAACACAGCAAACACACACCAGCTTGAGGAACACACCAAACACACACCAGCTCGAGGAACACAGCAAACACACACCAGCTCGAGGAACACACCAAACACACACCAGCTCGAGGAACACACCAAACACACACCAGCTCGAGGAACACACCAAACACACACCAGCTCGAGTAACACACCAAACACACACCAGCTCGAGGAACACAGCAAACACACACCAGCTCGAGGAACACAGCAAACACACACCAGCTCGAGGAACACAGCAAACACACACCAGCTTGAGTAACACCAAACAGCAAACACACACCAGCTCGAGGAACACAGCAAACACACACCAGCTCGAGGAACACAGCAAACACACACCAGCTTGAGGAACACACCAAACACACACCAGCTCGAGGAACACAGCAAACACACACCAGCTCGAGGAACACACCAAACACACACCAGCTCGAGGAACACACCAAACACACACCAGCTCGAGTAACACACCAAACACACACCAGCTCGAGGAACACAGCAAACACACACCAGCTTGAGTAACACACCAAACACACACCAGCTCGAGGAACACAGCAAACACACACCAGCTTGAGGAACACACCAAACACACACCAGCTCGAGGAACACAGCAAACACACACCAGCTCGAGGAACACACCAAACACACACCAGCTCGAGTAACACACCAAACACACACCAGCTCGAGTAACACACCAAACACACACCAGCTCGAGGAACACAGCAAACACACACCAACACACACCAGCTCGAGGAACACACCAAACACACACCAGCTCGAGTAACACACCAAACACACACCAGCTCGAGGAACACACCAAACACACACCAGCTCGAGGAACACACCAAACACACACCAGCTCAAGTAACACACCAAACACACACCAGCTCGAGGAACACACCAAACACACACCAGCTGGAGGAACACAGCAAACACACACCAGCTCGAGGAACACAGCAAACACACACCAGCTCGAGGAACACACACCAGCTTGAGGAACACACCAAACACACACCAGCTCGAGGAACACACCAAACACACACCAGCTCGAGGAACACACCAAACACACACCAGCTCGAGGAACACAGCAAACACACACCAGCTCGAGGAACACAGCAAACACACACCAGCTCGAGGAACACACACCAGCTTGAGGAACACACCAAACACACACCAGCTCGAGGAACACACCAAACACACACCAGCTTATTAAATTACAATTTAAAATTTATAAAAATGATAAATTAATCTGATATAGTTTAGTTTTTAAAACTATACTTTTAATTAATATTTTATTATATATATAAATAATATATTAATGATACATTAATCTAATATAAGTCATATACACACATGTATACTTTGGTAATTGTAATGTTTTGCCTGAAGGTCCTTGATTTCACCACTAGATGGCGTCATCTCAGCCCATGATTACTCGGCGTTTGTTAAATGGCTGTACTTGTAACCCTCTTACCTGTGTGAACTACTCTTAATATCAGCCATATTTAAATATTTAAGGCCTCACTGCCCTTCAGTCCTGATGTTTGTCTAAGCGTTGTCATTCTCAAAGATTCGGGCTTGAGTTATTCCTGTCCGCTAAGTTGTTGTTCCATTTTTTTGTGGACTGAAGTCTCCTGGATGTTTCTCTCTGGTCTGATTTAAGCAGAGCTCTTCAGTTTGTATTGCCTCCCAAGGACTGTTGTTTTGTGATATATCCCTAAAGTACCGCCTAAGACTGTTGCTTATGATTATGTTTCCCCCCTCTGAAGTAAAGAGCCTTACACCGTGGCCTAACAACACGCGATAAAAGGCGTCTTTTCCATGTTAATCAGAGTTTTTGTTTATGTCCTAACCAGCCGCGACGGCGACACGCGACGATTCTATTTTAGAAACGGTTTCTATTTTCCTGCGACGTCGCGCTGGAACAACAAACACAAAAGTGTGGCAATGATAATCTCAGGTGCTGTTTATGTGCTTTATTTAATGTTAAAAGCGTGTAATGTGACTTTGAATATCAGTTAGTGCTCCAGATTTGCAGCTGTAAAAGCAACAATGGATAATTCACCTCAGATCTTGAAATTAAACAAATGGAAACAAGAACGTTCAAACTGTGAACAAACAAATGTATTATATGACAAAGATTGTTTTAGTAACTCGGTAGCCTATGTATTTTTAATAATGTTAAAATGGTGTAATATTTGTGAATTTGTTTATGTAGCCGGCTTATCCATTTTCTTGCGAGTGCCGTCAGGATTACTGACGCGAGACTCCGCCCACTCGCTGTTCTGATTGGCTGTGGGTTTTGATTGATTTTGACGCATCTCGCAGTCGCGTCTAGTGTGGACAGACACATTATTTGTCGCTGGAATCTTATCGCATGGCGTCTGGTTAGGACAGTGTTAGGTCTCATGGTTTGTAACTCCCCTGACCCTCACCTGTCCACTGTTGCCCAGTTCCTCAGGAGACGTGTAGGTATCGAGTCTCAGACTGAGACCGAAGTCACACAGACAACACGTGAGGTCTGACTTCACCAGCACGTTTGCGCTCTTCAGGTCGCGGTGGACGATAGCCACTTTAGCTCGTCCACACGGCGTCCGATCGGCGTGAAGATGAGCCACGCCCCTCGCCAGCGAACCGGCCAATCGGCACAGCTCGTCCCAGCCAATCACGTGCTGCGACAGGAACTCCTGCAGGTTTCCTCGCTCCTGATAGGCCGTTATCAGCCAATACTGTTGCGACGCTTTCCGGTCCTCGGCGGTCAGAAAGTGCAGGACGTTCTCGTGCCGAAGCTCAGCATCGGAGTAAATCTCCCACTCGGTTTTCCACGAGGCGTATTCCTCATACGGGAATATTTTCACGGCCACCGTTTGGAAGGATTGGCTAGCTTGTTTGAGTCTGGCTTTGAAGACCTCGGCGAATCGGCCTTTCCCGACGGATGAGTCCAGTTGGATGGGAAGAAGCTCCAGGTTGTGGTTCAGGCTGTTGTCGGACCGGTCGTCGTCGCTCATGATGATGATGGCGCAGGTTTCGCTTTTAGTCGCGGGCGCTTTGAGCTTGTGCTGTCGACACGCGCAGTAGAAGTAGAGCAGCGACACCAGCAGGACCAGCACGACCCCGGAGGGAACCAGACTGACCAGCAGCAGAGACAGGAGCTTCGGCTCATCCGATCTGGGAGAAACCGGATCCGCACCTGAACACAACACGAGAATTACTAATCCTACTTTGAAAATCATTACATTGGTTACCTGTTAGTTTTCTTGTTGATTTTAAAAACTTTCTATGTAAGGGTTAATGCCCTTCGAGGTGTCCATTCTCAGGTATTAAAGGGATAGTTCACTTTGAAATTAATTTTTGATATATTTTAGCTTACCTCAAGGGCATCCAAGATGTAGGTGTCTTTGTTTCCACAGTATTTTCAATTTTAATATTTTTAGGTCAAGCCGTTCTTGTCTGTCAGTCATATAATGCAGGTCTATGGGGTCCACCTCAAAGAGCATGCACAGAGAAGTCCAAATTAAACATGATTTAATGACTCGTAAATGTAAGTACACATTGATGGCCTAAGACACGAAACGAGCGGTTTGTGTGAGAAAACGAACAGTATTTATATCGTTTTTACCTCTTGTAAACACAGCCACGTCCAAGTGATCTGAGGGCGCCGGCGCTTCGGTCTTTTCCGTAAAGTGCCGGAAGTGATCTCTCGCGCGTGTACGTCACTCATACAATTGTTTAATTTTTTTTTTTTTGCCACGGTTTAAACATCCCGGATAAGCGCAAATTAGTACCATTTTAATTAGCCGTCTTACCTACAATCTCTGCTCTGTGTAAACAATGAGTGACGTACACGCGCGAGAGATCACTTCCGGCGCTTTCCGGAAAAGACCGAAGCGCCGGCGCCCTCAGATCACTTGGACGTGGCTGTGTTTACAAGAGGTAAAAACGATATAAATACTGTTCGTTTTCTCACACAAACCGCTCGTTTCGTATCTTAGGCCATCAATGTGTACTTACATTTACGAGTCATTAAATCATGTTTAATTTGGACTTCTCTGTGCATGCTCTTTGAGCTGGTGACCATAGACCTGCATTATATGACTGACAGACAAGAACGGTTTGACCTAAAAATATCAAAATTGAAACTACTGCGGAAACAAAGACACCTACATCTTGGATGCCCTTGAGGTAAGCTAAAACATACCAAAAATTAATTTCAAAGTGAACTATCCCTTTAATGGGCGACGGCGAGGCGTGAACCGTCCGACGCGCAGTTTGTGTTTTTGCCTCCGCCGAAGTCCATTAATACCTGACAATGGACACCCCGAAAGGCATTAACCCGCTTATACCAAATAACACATTTTTAAAACATTAGTTTATATTTTAATTAGTTTTACAATCGAAATCTAAAGTTTTTACAAACAATAACTTGGTTTCCCTGATTACTGACGGTTTATTTAGCAACCGGAGATATTTATAGTCCGCTCAGCTCGTAGAACCCTTCAGTTTAGCTAACTTACGAGCCAGAAAGTGAACGTATTTTTTTTCATGTAAGTTAGGCCGTGTGTCCACCAAAGCGTTTTTAGCCGGCTGAAAACGCAAGCCGCTCTGCTGAAGACGCCTAGCTGTGGGCGATTGAGAGCGTTTTGGCAGCACAGCGTTTTTTCCGTTGAGACGTTTCGTTGCTATGATACAGAATATCCGCAGCACAGTTTACTTGTAACTGATTTCGCAGATAATTTGTTTCATACTGAAAAAAATGTTTTCATCCATGTTGTTCGGTTAGCTCTGCTGGTTGATGTCGTTGTACAGAAAGAATGTTGTGACGGTTGGTCGGTGTGGTGTTAGTCCCGCCCCTCCTCCACTGTGATTGGACGGCTGGGTAAAAGTGACAGTGATGAGCGCTGCGTTTTATCCAAAGTTGAACATTCTTCAACTCTCGGCGACCAGTAAAAACACCGAGCTCTCAGCGCTTCAGCGTGAAAAAAATGTCCAGCGCCTCGTTGCGCTCATGGCTTTCTAAAAACGCGGCGCTCCCATTGAAAACAATTGAAAACGTACGCCAGGCGCGTGGAAAAACGCTTTGGTGGACACACGGCCTTAGGCTTGTCTAGCCATGGGCGTTACACTGTCGTTTTTTTTTTTACCTATAATTAAAACACACAGGTAGGCGTAGTATAACTAGATGTTTTTTTATACAATAAATTGTAAACGGATACTTTGACTGCCTGTTGCTATGGTTACTCACTTGACATTTATTTATTAATTTCGAACGGTAAACAGTCAGTTTCACCAGAGCTCCTCTATCACTTTTTAATGGACACCCTGCAGCCAATCAGAATCGAGTATTCACCCAGACCATGGTATAATAGTTTATAACATAGACATTATAAATACATAGACGCCCTATTGGCCGCTTTGGAACGTTGCTGCGATACGTCAACGGGTCCGCCATTTTGCGGAGGGCAAGACTGCACTGTAATCAAATGTAAGTAAACGGGTGAGCTGCGGTTTTTCTGGATACAAACAAACTGTTTTTACATTTATCAACCGATTTCAGTGGTTTGTCTGTGGTGTACAAAAAGTTCCATCTCTAGTTATTTAAAATCTCGATAGTAAGACTTGTAAAATATATTTTTTTAAGAAAGAATGGTCAAAGCTCAGGCTTGTCATGTATCTGGCTTTTTATTCTTGGATAAGAATGGTGAAGACCCCCATACTGAGATATAATTTAAGTTTTCTTATTGTGGAAAAAGCATTTTTTGTGACTGACCAGATTTTTCCAATAACAAAGATAACTGATGGATCCTTTATGATAATACATGTTACAACTATACACGGTACAACTATAGTGCAATGCAAATAGTAAATATAACATAAAGTGAGAAGTAATAGTAAATAGTTTAGTCAATAAAATAAACAAATAGTATACAGCAAATAAAATAGTAATGAATAGTATAATTATATAATATCATAAGTACAATAATACAATCATAAAAATATTGATAATAGCATATAGTTTATTAATAATACTATAGCAATAGAATAAGAAATATCAATTACAGAATATACACAATAAAAAAAATAAGTTAAATAGTGACTTTAATATTTAACTCTTTTAGTTTTATTGATCAGTAATAGCCTTTATAACAGAAGTAGCTTCAGTCAAACATACAGCAGGATACAACGTTAAAATAGCCTAAATATAAAGTTATGAAACTTCACTTTGCCCTCAGCCAAAACGATTTACCAGGGAACCATTTATAGATTAATGAGACCAAAGATCGCCCGTTAGATATACACAAGACGAATTATATCTCATGTTTAACCACTAGACTACAGACATCCGAGTCAGCGGCAAAACTTCAGAAGCACTGGCCGAGGGACGGCTGTTCCAGGCTATATGGGGAGGCTGCAGACCTGGAGCCGGCAGATATACGCCCCTGGCAGTTTTACGACCCTGTTGTTCCTGATGCGTCCAGTAGAGGGATATACTGCGAAATAACATAATTAAATCGACGCTTACACATTAATAACCCGTCCATAGACTTGACAATTTTGTGTTTTTTGTTAATTTAAATATAAACGTTACAGTGTAGATCTCCACGGATTAAATTTAAAGACAGGCAACAAAAGAAAATTTAAATTAAAATTAATTTTAAATTGAGTAGAGAAGATAGGGGAAGCTAAACCTACACGTGGTTAGCTAAGTTTAAGCCAGATAGAACAGAAACCTGTCAAAATACATTATAGACCCATCCATTGATATATAAATGAATTGATATCTACCTACCCTAGCTCTAGCTCTATCGAGCTAATCGTTTATAAATAATAAATGTTGCATCATTGCTAAAAAACAATAACTTTAGCAGATTATTTAACATACAAATGACAGAATCTATTTTTGTCAGATTTTAATTCTAACGATGTTAAACTTGATTATACGGTATTATTACTTTGTCTTCTGGGCAAGTTTCATCTTTATAAAGACAGAACCATTCAAAGTAATCCTGATTCTAGAATATTCTCCTCTGATATAAAGTTCATTTTTTCTTCCTTTAAGAAAATGTCAGAACCTTTAAACTCAAAGGTTTATAAAACAAACAATATCATTGAGTCTGTTGTAAAGAACCTTACATGTTTTTATATTGACAAAATGTAATATTGCATTGATTTGTGTAACCTAATTCAATCTCTTTGATGTCCTTTTACCCCCCTTGTTTTTTTGTTAAACAGATCATTTAATCCGTGCAGATCTACACTATAACGTTTATATTTAAATTAACAAAAAACACAAAATTGTCAAGTCTATGGACGGGTTATTAAGCTTGAATTAAATTATGTTATTTCGCAGTATATCCCTCTACTGGACGCATCAGGAACAACAGGGTCGTAAAACTGCCAGGGGCGTATATCCAATAGTAACCGACTGCAGAACCGCAGAACCATACGTCATAGCAGTGTGAGGACGACAGCGCCAGCCTGACAGTCTGATGCCGGAAGTGGGCGTGGCCAGGCATTGCGCTACTTCTGTGTTTTAGAAAGTTTAAAACAATGCTATTATGAATATATTTTTTAACGATTTAATTCAAAATATATATTTAAGAGATAGGCCTATATATATATATATATATCAATAAAATATTATAAAATATAATATTTATAAAATTATAAAGTATAATAACTATGTTTTGTCCTATTAACAAAAGACAGGCAATGTAGCCTATTAACAAATGTTAATAGTGTTTTTTAAGTTAAAATGATACTTTATGCATCTGTTTTGTGTCAAATGATTAACAATATAAATTGAACAAAGCTTAAAACAAACAAAATAATAAAACGAAAACAAAGCTTGAGCATTTGAACATTTGATTTAATTGAAAAGCATTTTTTAAATAAAATGTGTTTTCCCCCCCTCTGAAATAGCAAAAGCATCACACACTAGCTGTACCTGCTCCAAATAAATAATAGTAATTAAATCAAAATATAAAATCAAAATAAATCAAATAAATAAATTATATAAAACAAAATCAAACCAAAGAAAATAAATCTTATTAAAGTTATGCAGGCACACATTTAACAATAATTCTTAAGTGACAAATAAACTAAATAAATCAAAACTCCATACACATGGAGTTAATCCTGATGATTTCATGAGGCGCCTTTCGTCATGACACTCGCTTTTATTTTCTTTGG